CCTTCCTTCCTCCCTTCCTTCCTTCCTTCCTTCCTTCCTTCCTTCCTTCCTTCCTTCTTTCTGCTTGCTCACATTCACTTCCGGAGGAAGCAGTCATTCAGAAGCCCCTGATTGATTGATTGCCTGGGCTAATCCCCAGCTGCAAACTATTAGGGAAGCTTATCTCCCCGATCTCTCTGAACAAACGGAGCATTTAGGAGTTCGCTCCTTCAACGAAGGAAGTAACAGGATGAGGTAGTTTACAATTTGACCTTGGCTGCAGAGGGTGGGGGGGGGAGGGGGATACCAGCCTGCTCATTACCCCCAGGATTTTCACTTTTACCCCATTTGGGGTAATTGACCCCGGTTCCCCGACCCATGCTTTATGCTTACTATTTTTGGCCACTAGGTTCACTTGAAATTGCCTGAAAAGTTGTTTCAGTTGCTCAATGTTAACAAGTTTGCTAGACTTCCTTAATGTATTTTGGTGTGTAATATTTTGATCCCCCACAGACATTTAAAGAAGCTGCTCTGTGCCAGACACTAATCGAGAACATTGATAGAGCTGGATATAAAAAACTTACTCCAGTGCAGAAACACAGCATTCCTATTATTCTGGCAGGGCGTGATTTAATGGCGTGTGCTCAAACAGGGTCTGGAAAAACAGTAAGTGTAAAATGGCATTCTTATATCTGAGGCAGAGTTTTGGTGGGACTGTAGTAATATGGTATTAGGGACTTTAAGTACTGTATCTGATCAAGCTGTGAGTTTTCCTGGGCACCTTGCTCAATTTGAGCCGCTTCCAGTGGTTCCCAAGAAAAGTTCTTTACTTACTGAACTGTTTTCTTTGCATTGATAATAATTTTTGTTCTATATTCACTTTGCTGATTATTATGCAGATTTATTGAATACATGCAAGAACACCAAATACAGATAATTAAAAGTGGTATTTAAAAATAAACATAGTTGATAATACTGTTCTTCATGGTGCCTTAAGGTTTAAAGCTGCATAAACTAGGGATCAGTGAGCAGCCTCAGTGTGGGCGAAGTACACAGTATTTCTGTATATTACTATCTGTTGTGCTCTTCTAGTTAAAAAAGAACTAGGTTACTTAACTTTGAAGGTTCAGACAAATCCTCTAAGGTTTGTTCACTGTATGTGCAATGCTGGACCAAAGTTTGTTATTTTGAATGTGTTCCATAAATTTCCATAGGTCTCTGTAAGTTGAGATTTTTAGATGCATTGTGCATTTGTAAAATTAGTTTCTTCAGCATGGTCTCTGTGAATCACACATTTGGGTTAAACAGCGCCTGCGCTGGAACTTCAGAACCTTCTCGAGCTTTTATTCTGAAAAGATACAAAGCTTAGATCGCCCCTTGTGTGCATGCTCCCTCCCTCCCAGTCTCATCCATTTTTTCCGCCATAGCGCGTGGAACGATTTGGATAGAGCTCTCTAAGTTGTCAGATATGTGACTTCTTTTTGGACTCTTTATCTCCTCCTTTAGTCAGTTTTGTCGCCCCTTAACTTGGACTGTTTTCGATCTTTGCTTTGCTGTAGCAGATCTGCTGTTTGCTTGGCTTTTTCCCAAGCTTTTGTGAATTGCCTGATTGCCCGCCTGATTGGCGTGGCGGGAGGCACCATTATCCACTTGACCCTAATTGCCTGAGAACTTTGTTATTGGCGTGGGAATAGAGGCTTTTTTCTCAGCCTATTCTTTTTATGTCCCCCTCAGGCCCTTTCAGCAAGTGCAGGGCTTGTGCTAAGGAGCTGCCCTTTTACGATAAGGACCAATGTTGTCTTTTTTGCCTGGGGGACACTCACATTCCTTCTCTTTGTTTGCATTGTAAGAACTTTACGAGGGCTGCGCTTAAAGCTCGGCAGCAGAGACTCAAGTATTATTTGTGGGACAAGGCTTTATCCGCCTCACAAACTCTTGCCATGGAGGCTTCCTCGAACCAGTCAGTGACCCCAACAACTGAGGCAAATGTCCCTGCTCTTTCTACTGGGGCCTCTAAATCTGGCGCGAAAACTCCTAAGAAGCCGGTAACAGCTACTTCTAAGAAGCCTGTTTCCTCAGCGCAGGAGACTCCCACGCCAAAGGCTTCAAAAACTAAGAAACCTGCTGGCCAGAACAAAAAGGGCAAAAGTAGGGAGCGCGGTGTTATCCCTCCTATTACTCCGTCCCTGCCTTCACCGATTTTAGAAGATTCTTCAAGGGATCAGGACTCTTTTTCTGAACCGGCTTCCTCTATGCCTCCTAGCCAGCAAGCCGAGGGCAACTTGGAAAGCGGACGTTCGCCTAGCCCTGACAAATTGGAAGCGGCTGTTCTTTCCAGCCCTCAAATGGCCCCTCAAAGCCCTGAACCTCCGAAGTCTCCTTCTTCTTCGCCCAGTAGAAGTCTTCCCCCACGGAAGAAATCTTCTAAAAGGAGGCACTCTTTGACTGAGCGATCTCAGTCTACTGACAGGGAGGTTCGACGTTGAAAGAAGCATAAATAAATAAATAGGAGAGATCGCTCTCCTGGTCGACATTCCCGCAGGAGGCGTTACAGACATCGGAGTCGTTACTACTATACCGACTCCACCTCTTTTATCTCCTAGACGTCAGCGGGCCACCGGAGACATAGAAAGAGGTGCTATTCTACCACCTCTTCTTCTGACAGTTCGCCCTCTCCCCCCCTCCTCGACATCGACGGAACCAAGAGGCTGAGACATCCTTGCCAGCTAAGAAGACTACTTCCAAAGCACCTCCTAAGCCGCCTTCTACGTCGATGTCGATGTCCAAGGGGACGAATCACTCCGTCCCCTTTGCTCAAAGGCAAATGCCTTCGGATGATGAAGAGGCTCAATGCGAAGTCTACTCTGATCAGGGAGAGGAACTACTCTCTCACAGCAAGATTGTTAGCTTGTTGAGGCTGAGACCTGTGAATTTAATGCAGGTGATCCCAATCCTTCATCTCCTCCTAAGGATTTTTCATCCTACACTCAGATGGTGGCTAGAATGGCTAAGGTTTTAAAGATGCAAATGCAGCAGCCTCCTCTTCCGTCTGAGGACTTGATTTATGGAGACATAGATCAGGAGAGTTCACAACCCTTAAGCATCACTTTTGTATCTAAGTTGGTTAACCTTATCCCTGAAATTTGGACTCAGCCTGCAGCACCCTTGCCTATATCCAGGCATACTGAGAACCTCTACAGAGCTCATGGGGATGATACAAATTACATTTCTAAGCATCCTACTCCTAATTCTGTTATTGTTCATGCCAACTCTTCAAAAGCATCTGGCAGACATGTTACCCCTGTCAATCGAGAGGGGAGAAAATTGGATGTTTTGGGCAGGAAGATGTTAGTAGTGATAAAAGCATTCAGGGCCTTCCTTCCGCTGATACAGGGTCGTGGTGTACAGATTGTGACAGACAACACCACGACCTTGTACTACATCAACAAGCAGGGAGGAACGAGGTCCATGTCCCTTCTGTACCTGTCGATACACCTGTGGGAGTGGTGTTACATCTGTCATATTTACTCAGTGGCAATCCACATCTCCACATCGGACAACCAATTGGCAGATGACCTGAGTCGCCGAATGGGATAGACACACGAGTGGGAGCTGGACAACAATGTGTTCCAGATGCTATGCAGAAGATGGGGTCAACTATCCATAGACGTGTTCGCTTCATACAAGAACAAGAAGTGCAAGAGGTATGCATCTCGAGCAGGCAGGGGGCCCGGCTCTCTGGGAAATGCTTTTATGATTCCTTGAAAAGCTCATCTACTTTACCTGTTCCCGCCAGTTCCCCTGATACAGCGGTCTCTCATCAGGCGGAGACAGGAGAGGTCATCAGCAGTCATCATAGCACCATTTTGGCCACGTCAGCCATGGTTTCCTACTCTGCAGGAATTGGCCACTGACATGCTGAGGCTTCCCTCCTTTCCACATCTGCTGACTCAGGATTCAGGGAATGTTCTGCATCTGGATCTGCCGTCCCTCCACCTAGCTGCATGGAAGATCTGCCTGAAATCAAGGAGGTATTAGACAAGTCAAAGAAACCTTCCACTCTTCTGCTGTATAAATATAAATGGAATAACTTTCTTCGTTTTACCACTGAAAGGAACTTGTCAGCTTCTCTTGTGTCACTACAGACTTTACTTCTGTATCTTAGACATCTCTTTGATTTAGGCCTTACCTTATCCACTCTCAAGGTGTACATAGCAGCGATAGTCTCTTTTCAGCCCAGAGACTCTGAATCATCTCGCCTCTTCTCTAATTCGACATTGAAAGCGTTTTTAAAAGGACTGGTCAATATTCACCTCCTGTTAGGCCTCCAATACCCCAATGGTCACTTACATTGATTCTACAAACCCTTATGAAGCCGCCGTTTGAACCTATGTCTTTGTGTGATGTCAAGTTTCTTTCTTTCAAGACTCTGTTTCTAGTTGCTGTTACGTCTGCTAGAAGAGCAAGTGAGCTGGCAGCACTAAGGTCTGATGCTCCTTGCAGTTCTATAAAGACAAAGTTATGTTGTTTCCAGATGTTTCGTTCTTACCTAAAGTTCTTACGGACTTTCATCTTAACCAACCTCTCTCGTTACCTGCCTTGTTTCCTGATCCTTCATCTGACGTAGAAAAGATGCTCCACTCCCTCGATGTCAGAAGGGCATTATCATACTATACTTCCAGGACAAAGGATTTTCATAACTCTGAAAGGCTCTTGTGTTTCTACAGACCACATAAGGGTTCTCCAGCGTCATCTTCTACCCTGTCGATATGGCTTGTCTTCACTATTACGCTTGCATATGAACTTACAAGTTAGCCTGTGCCTGAAGGTCTTAAAGGGCATTCTAAAAGGTCCATGGCGACATCCACTGCCTTACTACCTGGTGTGGACATTCCTGATATTTGCAAGGGCTGTCTTGACATCTGTCCTGCAGTGACGGCCCCCCTTCCGGTAAGTTAGCTTGTCAGTCACCCAAATGTGTGATTTACAGAGACCACACTGAAGAAGGAGAGGTTACTTACCTGTAACCATGGTTCTTCAAGTGGATCTCTGTGAATTCACACATGCCCACCCAGCCTCCCCACTGTCCGTCACTGCTTATGTTTAAGTGAGCTCTTGCTCTGGCAATGGCGGACACGTGGAACTGAGACTGGGAGGGAGGGAGCATGCGCACAAGGGGCGATCTAAGCTTTGTATCTTTTATTTGTTTGTTTGTTTGCTTATTTATTTATTTATTTATTTATTTAATTTATACCCCGTCTATCTGGTCAAATATGACCACTCTAGGCGGCTTACAACACACACTATAAAACAATTAAACATATAACATACCACATAACATAATTAGCATTAATAAAAAGAAATAAAAATTTTTCCCAAGATAGCAAGAAACAAGGTATACTGTGGTAGAAAAAGAAAAAAGAATAATTAGGAATTAACTGGAAAGGGGGAAGGCCTGCCTAAACATCCATGTTTTCAAAGCTTGAGAAGGTTCCGAAGTTCCAACGCAGGCGCTGTTTAATCCAAATGTGTGAATTCACAGAGATCCACTTGAAGAACCATGGTTACAGGTAAGTAACCTCTCTTTCTGTTTTCTAGAATTGAACCATTTCTAAATTATAACATACTCTCCCTTTAGGCAGCTTTTCTTATTCCAATTTTGGCACATATGATGCGAGATGGGGTTACTGCCAGTCAATTCAAAGAGCAACAAGAACCAGAATGTATAATTGTAGCTCCAACTAGGGAACTGATAAATCAGATATTTATGGAATCAAGAAAATTTTTGTATGGGTAAGTGTTCAAGCAAGCAAAATTTCTAATGCAATATTCCAGCCAAGAAACAGAAAATTTCATTCCTAGGTTAGAATTGTTTTGGTATTCCCAAATAAAATATACCCATTGAATCACAGGGACTTACCTAAGTGACTCATCCATCATTTGATAATTGATTCAGTGGGCCTACTAGGTTTCTGAAGTTTGGAGTGCTTACTCTGGGCTAGTACAGTATTTCAGGATGCAGTCTAGTCTCAGCAGGCAGGCTGCTAAATAAATTCTGACTTGACTTTCTTCAGAGCAACCAAAAACAGCATTCATTTTTTAAAAAAGGAAATGCACGACATCCTATTTGTTAGTTACACCAGCAGGTGCAGTGGTGTAAGTTGCTCTGAAAATTGCCAGTAGTTAAAGAATTGGCACTTCTGTCCCTTGTGTGCTGGTTCACATGACTGGTGTGCTGTGAGGAGTAAAAAGTGTCAATTTGTTAACTACTAACAATTTAGGGCTGCAGTTTACACCATTGCACTTATTCCAATGTAACTAACCACTAGAATAATGAGCTAGAGACTTACAAATGTAACTACTTATGGGTTAAAAGTTGAAATAGGATGATTTAGAACATGTATATTTGGACTTCTGATCTCTGAATCTGGATCCAATCACATGAGAGACTAAAGAATGTTCAGTACCTCTTTCCAGAAGCACCAGCTGGGATGTTGAACTTAATTGCTAATACAGTGGTGCCTCGCTTAACGGGCGCCCCGTTTAACGACGAATCTGCATAGTGATTAACTTTTTGTGATCGCATTGCGATGTTTTAAATAGGAAAAATCGCTTTGCGATGATCGGTACCCTGTTTCGCATACCGGTCCATCGCATAGCAATGATTTTCCAACAGCTGATCGGCGGTTCCAAAATGGCTGCCGGGTAAAAAAAATGGCCACCTGCTGTGTTTTTGCCCGGATTCCTCGCTTACCGGGCAGCGAAAATGGCGGCCGGATGGAGGATTTTCGCTTTAAGGTGAGTTTTAAGCCCATAGGAACGCATTGAAGGGGGTTCAATGCATTCCTATGGGCTTTTAAAAACAGCATAGCGACGAAATCGCTTTGCAGCGATTTTTGCTGCACGGATTATCGTTGTTATGCGGGGCACCACCGTAGTTCTTAGTTTGTGTGTTACTGTGATTTGCTGCTGCTTTTACAACAAAGTAGAAGTATTGCTACTTCTAGACACTACCTTATATGATGTAGTCATGAAGTCCTGCTAGTTCTTGACTTCACTTTATTTTAGGGGAAGTGAAAAGCTGTAAAAGTGATTAAAATTTGTTACAATGCTGTATTTTCCACATATTTTACAATAAATGTCGTAAATGTCGATAGTTTTCTTCATCATGGGCTCTTTTCTGTGGGTTTCTTTACCATGGATTTAGGCTCTGTTTAGACCCCAGTATATTGTGAACAAGAGAAGACTGGGTCTCCAAGATATATCATAACTGGCTGCTTCACACTGAGTTGTAATAATAAGACTTTATCAACTTTCTTTAATTCAACAGGGGTTAAGTTGGAGAGAAGTTGAATATGCCTTCTATTAGGCATGCTATTAAGAATCAGTATATCTTGGATATCATTATTGTATAATTGTATTATTGTACAGTGGTGCCTCATTTAGCGATGTTAATCCGTGCAGGAAAAAATGTCGCTAAATGATTTAATTGCTAAGCGATTTTTAAAAGCCCATAGGAACGTATTAAAACGCATTTAATATGTTCCTATGTGCTAAAAACTTACCTCAAAGCAAAATTCCTCCATAGCGGCGGCCATTTTGGGTGCCTCTACAGCGAGGCAAAACAGCGGCGGCCATTTTGGAACCGCCAACCAGCTGTTTAAAAAAGTTCGCTTTGCCATGATCACTTCCCCGCGATCATCGCAAAGCGAATTTTAGCCATAGAGGACATCGCTAAATCACTCCAGTGATGGCCAAAAGTCCATCACAAAGTGATTTCATCACTCAACGGAGTGATCGCTAAGCGAGGCACCACTGTACAATAAATTAATTATCTCTTGTATTGAAAGCAAATAATATCCAACTATTGGTGGCTTATTCTGTAAACTGACTGAATAGGGGTCTGTTTGATTTAATTACATGAAGCCATTTGTGCCCTAGTGAATACCTGCCAACATGATGGAATCTCCTCCTCTCCCTTCTAGCTTGTTCACCATCCAAAAATTGGTAAATTTTTGGGGCTGCACAGAAGACTGGGAAGGGGAGGGAGATTGGCCTTTCCTTGTTCAGCTCTTGGAATCAACCCATTGGATACTGGCCAGTGTCACATTAACCAGGAGGAAGAATACCCACCCATATTTTAGCTGTTTTCAGAGCAGTTGCTGTGTTAATCTATTTCAGCAATAACAAAATAAAAGAATTATTTTGGCAACCTGAAGACTAACAAATGTATTTTAGCATGAATCTCCACAGACGAAAATCTGCTTGGCACATGTTCAGATAGATACATGTTGTAATCTACGAAAGCTGATGTGAAATAAATTTGTTAGTCTTGAAGGTGACTTTTTTGTTGTATATATAGGACGATGTAACTTTGAATGCAGTACATTAAATATTACCATTTTGTAGTAGTGACCGACCAAACTCCTGTTGCTTGGTAACATGCTAGAGTAAGGCCATTGAATTAGTAAAGATTTAGTGTGTCAGCTCCATTGAATGAAATGGGTCTACTCTTAATGGCAGTTTGCTGTGCTAAAATAAATTGCAGTTAGAGTAGGTACATTTGAATCTGTGGACAATTAACTGGCCTACTCAAGTGTGATCTCCTACAGTAAGCCAAAGGGGTTTTGCTAGCATGTTGGACTAGATTTAAAGAGAGCAATGTTCAAGTCTCCCCAGCCATGAAAATTTACCGGGTGGCCTTGGACTGATTGCCCATTTTCAGGCTGATCTCTTTTCCAAGGTTACTTTGAGGATAATGTAAGAAGGAGAGTCATTTATGTTGCCTTTAGTTTACTGGAGAAAATGGGGAGTATAAGTGTAACCAATCAATAAATAAATACAACCCTCATGCATTTCAATAATTTTACTCAGTACATGGGTTCAGATGACGCTCATAAAATGTACAAAGAGCATACCATTTTAAGTGCTTCTTGCTGTTACGTGCTGTCAAGATTGCGTCTGACTTGTGGTTTTATGAATGAGTAGTGTCCAACATGTACTGTCCTCAGAAGCCCTGCTCAGCTCTTGTAAACTCAAACCTATGACTTCCTTTAAGGAGTCAGTCCATATCATCTTAGGTCTTCCTCTTTTCTTGCTGTCTTCAATCTTTCTCAGCATTATTGACTTTTACAGAGTCTTGCAATTTCATAGTTTATTCAAAATATGACAGCCTCAGTTTCATTGTTTTTGCCTCCAGAGATAGTTCAGGCTTGATTTGCTTTAGGACCCACTTCTTCATCCTTCTGGCATCCAGGAAGGGTTTTCACTGCTTAGTGGATTTTATTTTGGAAAATCATTTAGAATTTGTTTTGGTGTGATTCGTTATTATTTAAATGCTTTTTTCTTAATAAAGGATAATGCAGCTTTAACCATATTGCTGTTTTTGCAGTGTATTGTGGACACAGGTTTATTTAAACAAAATCCACAAATGACCAAGATTTTTGTTGAGATTAATAGTGATTTCAAAAAACATGCAGCATCACACATTCTCAAACTGTTGCTTAGGCTGGATGGTGAAAATTGGAGAGGAAGCATGTTTTATTAAAGCCATGCTGTTAATTTGCAATAAAGTATTGATATGTTAAGATATATTCAGTTCATTTGGTGTTTCTCATTAAATAAGGATTGTAATTATATTTTTTTATTTACCAGAACATGTATACGTCCCGTTGTCATTTATGGAGGTATACAAGTAGGTTATACAATTTGTCAGATAAAGCAAGGCTGTAATATATTGTGTGCTACTCCTGGAAGACTTTTGGATGTCATAAACAGGCAAACGGTAAAATCTGTGTGTGAATATCCTCTTAAACATTAAAGTTACTCAAATTCGTAAAATACTTGGCATCATTTTATAGAGGTTGTTAACAAGTTGCTAAAGTTATTATTCAGTGGGCAAAGTTATCTGGCTTCACAAGTAAGGGAATTATATTGTCAGGCAAGGGAAATAATTTGAGGATTCTTCTGCATTTCTTAACACCAGACGAATGTGACGACAGATTATTGGGTGCCATTGCTGCCTGAAAGAGTGGAGACCAGTGATCTAGTTTACTAAATTTTTTCTGTTTCAGAGAAGTGGCTTCCCAAAGTTAGGGGTGTGATTTTTTTTTTGCCCAGACCACCTAAAATTGTTTAACTGAAGATATTGGAGAGAGAACATGGAACCTTTGGTGTGTTCTACATCTGGGCTGTAGAACATTGGAATGGAAACTATAGTATGACAGATTTGAGGTGGGATAGAAAAATGTCGGAATTGTGTTCTCGAAGACTTTGATGACCGGGATCCGCAGGTTGTTGTGGATTTTTGGGCTGATCACCCTGATCACAGGAAACACCCAATCTCCTGAAAAGAACAAAAACTCTGATCCCACAGCTATAAATACTCAACAGTCCCTCACACTATACCAGAACATGGGTAGAATTCTAACTCCTGTCCTCTGAAGATCTTGGCCACAGAGACTGGTGAAACGTTAGGAAGAAAAACCTCCAGAGCACAGCCAAACAGCCTGAAAAACCCACAACCAAATGTCTGAATTGTTGGAACAAACTTTGGGTGAACACTTCCTGATTGTTTTTTGTTACCTTGAATTGGAAGGGTCAGTGCAAAAGAGCCATTAGTAAAGCTGCTACTTCCCTTTGCCTAGATAACATGGATTGAGCTACAGCAAACGTGATGTCCGCACCTAGTGGCTTAATTTCTGTCCTAAAATGCTGTGGTGGCTTGTTAAAAAAATACTGTGGCCATAACTAGGTGGTGACACTTCCTGATTGTTTTTTGTTACCTTGAATTGGAAGGGTCAGTGCAAAAGAGCCATTAGTAAAGCTGCTACTTCCCTTTGCCTAGATAACATGGATTGAGCTACAGCAAACGTGATGTCCGCACCTAGTGGCTTAATTTCTGTCCTAAAATGCTGTGGTGGCTTGTTAAAAAAATACTGTGGCCATAACTAGGTGGTGGTCAGAATATACAGAGCCTCTGAAATATAGCTATACAGTGCGGTCTCGACTTACGAACAGCTCGACATACGAACATTTCGACTTACGAACCGCTCTCATAGGACTATATGGACTCGACTTACGAACTTAGATTCGAGTTACGAACTCTTTTTTTCCCCTTTTTTTAAAGCTAAGTCATCTTAGGTTAAAAGAAAAAAAGAAAAAAAATACCCCCCTCTAGTGGCAGAAGGCGGAATAGCAGCTTCCCATTAGTTTCTATGGACGAAAAGAGCAGATATGGATTAAATGGTTTTCAATGCATTCCTATGGGAAATGCAGATTCGACTTAAGAACTTTTCGACCTGAGAACTGCCTTCCAATACGGATTAAGTTCGTAAGTCGAGACCCCACTGTATAAACTTTCCTATCCTTTGTGCTTTTAAATCATGTTTTTGTTTGGAGTTGGTTTACACTAACTTTATTATGCAAATGGTGGGAGGGCATGTAAGATGCTTCAGATGGTCTTCATTACATGCTTTACTTTGAATTTTTACAGCTGTTGTGTAACAATGGAAGTGTATGGGTAACTTAATGCTTAAAATAATTTATTTTCTTTGTTTACATTTCTTCAGATTGGATTGAGCAAATTAAAATATTTGGTGTTAGATGAAGCTGACCGTATGCTGGACATGGGATTTGGCCCTGAAATGAAGAAGCTGATCTCAAGCCCTGGCATGCCAGCAAAGGAGCAGCGTCAAACACTGATGTTCAGTGCTACTTTCCCTGAAGAAATTCAGAGGTCTGTATTAGTGCTTTGATTTTCAATACACAAATAATCAGTCTTAAATTTTAGATCTGCTAATTTGAGTAAGTCATCTACAGAATAAATATAGCGGTACCTCGACTTACAAACCTAATCCGTATTGGAACAGTGTTCGCAAGTCGAAAAGTATATAGGTCGAGGCACCATTTCCCATAGGAATGCATTGAAAACCGATTAAGGAAGGAAGGAAAATATGCATTGAAAACCGATTAATGCGTTCTGAAGGAAGGAAAAAATACAAACATTTTTTTAAAAAGCACTGCAAGTCCCACGCTGGGACTGCAAAAAACCAAAAACACAAATAAAAAAAATTGGAGTAAGTCCCATGCTGGGACTGCCAAAAAACAAACAACCAAAATTGGAGTAAGTCCCATGCTGGGACTGAAAAAAACAAACAAACCAAAAAACAAAACAACACAGCACAGAAACATAACGCCCCCAGCCCAGACCCACCCTGGAAAAGCCACCCAGAACAGTTTTAAAAAAGAAAAAAGCAGCGGTCTGAAGCCTCCTGGTGGTTCCCTGCTGCTGCTGTGACTGCTGCTGCTGTGAGGCTTGAGCCTGGCTAGGGTGCTGTGGCCACTCGCCCCTGGCGGAGGCAGCGGTTGCCCAGCGCCAGGAGACTTAAGCTGGCCAGGTTTTGGCTTAAGCCTCCCGGCGCTGGGTGACCACTGTCTCCGATCATGGCGGCGGGGGATCACTGGGAAGTCTCCCAGGGCTTCCCTGCCACCATCAGAAACCTTCTGGGGGTCCGATTGCAGTGGCGGGGGAGCAATTTTAAATTTCCCGCCCTTTTCCGCCACCATGATCAGACCCCCAGGAGGTCTCCCAGGGCTTCTCTGCTGCTGTTGGAGACCTCCTAGGGGGTCCCCCGCCACCGTGATCTGCGCCTTCAGACTTTCCTGGGGGAGTAGACTGGGCCTTCCGGGGGAAGCCCTCAGGAGGGCTTCCTGCTTTCCTGGAGAATTAGACCAGGCCTACCAGGGGAAGCCCTCCTAAGGGCTTCACCCGGTAGGCCTGGTCTACATCCTGGGAAAGCCTGAAGGCGCCGATCGTGGTGGCAGGGGACCCCAGGAGGTCTCCGAGGGCAGCGGGGAAGCCCGGAAGCTTCCCTGCTGCCATCGGAGACCTCCTTGGGGTCCCCCGCCACCGTGATCGGACCCCCAGGAAGCCTCCAGAGGCCTCCTATCATGGTGGTGGGGGAACCCCAGGAGGTCTCTGATGGTGGCGAGGAAGCCCTGGGAGCTTCTCCACAGCCATCGGAGACCTCCTGGGGGTCCCTTTTCCTAACAGTTGGGGCAAAAGAGCAGCCTCTTCGCCACCAATGGTTTTAATGGAACGAACAAAGGCAGGGGAAATTTGAATTTCCTGCCCTTTTCCCCTGCCTTTTTTCGTTCATAGGTAGAGGCTCCGCAAGTTGATGCAGATTTTTGCGAACGGAGCCATTCGTAAGTCAAAATGTTTGTAGGTAGTGACCTTCGTCCCACTGTATTTGAAATGCTGTGGTATAGAAGATGGAACAAGCTTTTTTTACTGTTGTTCCCATAGCGATGGGTTTTTTTTGGAACCAATTAACATCGTTAAGCGAGGCACCACTGTATAGAACAATTGAGTTGGAAGGGACCTCTAAGGCCATCAAGTCCAACTCCCTGCTCAATACAGAATCCAAATCAAAGCAGATCTGATATGTGGTGGTTCAGTTTGTTCATGAATGCCTCCAGCATTTGAGTGCTCACCACCTCCTGAGGTAACTGGCTCCATTATCATATTGCTATAACAGTTAGTTTTTGCCTGACACTCAGGCTACATCTGTTATAGGCTTTCTGTAACTTGATCCCATTATTACATGTCCTGCACTCTGGGATGATCGAGAACAGATTCTGCCTCTCCTTTGTATGGCTACCTTTCAAGTATTTGAAAAGTGCTATCTTCTCTCTCTTCAATCTACTTTTCTCAAGGATAAACATTTCCAGTTATTCACATCTTCATCGTAGGGCTTCAGTTTACAGAATAGATTCTAAACTTATGAATAAGATTGGCAAGTAGGAAGTAGTGTGTTTCATGTGAATGGCTTTTATCAGAATATACATCACATTGAGGAGTTATTGCTTGACAGAGAAATAAAATATGTGTTCTGCATGGGTTGGATGAGATCTAGAATTCTCACTTTAAGATCCTAATTTCTGTAGGTTCTGTGTTCTTGAATATAACCATAGTTCAGAAATGTATACATTATTTGTGTACAAGAATAGTCTTGAAAAACGCATTTTGAAATGATGCCTTCATAGTGTGTAAAATTTGTATAAAATATGAGTTAATTAACAGAAGTCTGCTGATAACTTGGCTAACTAGTGCTTAACTGCTCCTTACATGTTTCTACAGTATAATAGTAACACCTTAAGTTTTTTAACTACTTATCTGTTTCCCCACCCCATTCCAAATTCATTAAGTATTTGCTCAAAAGAACTTTTTTTTTTCATTTTAAAGGCTGGCTGGAGAATTTTTGAAGTCCGGGTACTTATTTGTGGTTGTTGGTCAAGTGGGTGGAGCCTGCAGTGATGTTCAGCAGTCTGTACTTCAAGTGAAACAGTATGACAAGAGAGAAAAGCTTATTGAGATTCTCCGTGACATAGGTAATCTGGTCCCTTGCAACTATAAATAACATTATCTACTAAAAGATAACTTTTTAGCCCTATTCAGATATTGCATGCCAGGGACAGCCAACACATGAGCAGGCAAATGCTTAGCTCTGGCAGTTGTATCTGTGATTTGTTCATGTGGAAGGTAATGCTTTTGAAGAGAAATTTCTTGTCTTTTGTAGTTTTTTGTGCACATGCATGATCCTATATTTTCCAGGTTTGCTGCTCATGTGGCATGCCTTGTGAAAGAATTCTCTTTAGATAAGTGACTGTCCAGGTAAGCAGAAAAGAAACAGAGAGAGTAGAGCTAGGTATTCTCCTGCTAACATTCTGGCTGCAGTGTGGCAGGTAACACCTGAATAGGTCTCTTGTGTAATGAAGACTTGTGCTAGTTTGTTAATCTTTCCAGCTGGTAGTTAGAAGCTGGGCATTATAGAACTAGGGAACATAGTGGAAATAAATAGTGTCATATGGTACGTGTAGTTTGTCTATCTGATCAAAAAGCAGATTATTTTGCATCTGTGTTATATCAGGACTATAAATGTAAATCACTCTATTTTTATAAAATGCTTAATCTTGGCATAAATATCTTGGAGTTTTTTTTTTAGTTAAGGCTTTTATTTTGCATTCCCTCTTGTTGCCTGTTTTAGTACCCCTTATTTAGGAGATGTTGCACTTGTCCTGTCATTTGCTCACTATAATAATTTTAACCCATTCTTTTCCTAATAGCGGGTGTTCCGTGTTTTTTTCTGTCTAATCTCTCAACAATTCAAATGTGAGTTAAGGTGTAGGAAATTCTTGCTGGTGCTCTAACCTTTCTGCTAGGGACGATTGCATCCACTTGTTCAGTTACCTTTTGGAGTTATGGTCTGTAGCAATATCCTTTCTGCTATTGTTTCATACACTGTAATCACTTCACTTTGGGTGACCTACTTTGTGAAGGAGCAGCACTTCAGGATGATCATATACCTCCTTGAAGTCTTATTTATCAGAGAAATGAGACTTCAAGGAGTAATGAAAGATGGCCAGCATACAAGGTGGGTGAGAAGAGTTGCTCAGAGAAATCTACTCTTGGGGTGAATAGATAGCATTGTGAAATTGGCTAGCTGGGATTTGGTCAGGCAAGAGGGAGATTTAAAGTTCCTGTGATAGCAGACGAACATGCACAATATGTTCTTTAACACACAGTTTCTTCAAAAGTAGCTGGAGGGGGAGGGAGCTGTAGAGTTTGTAGAGGGCTAAACCTCAATAATGGTGCAAAAAGAGCATAAGGGATTGATCTGATTTAATGAAACTGATTTAAAATGGCCCAGAAGTGCCAGAAGAGTCCTCCATCTGGAGACATTCTGTAAAATTCTTAAGAATCTGAAACTCTGTGTTAGGGTCCTTATATGGAATAGGAGAGGTCATGAAACATTGTTATTCAATCCAGCTGACTCTATTTTGCTTTTCCAAAATCTACTTTAAGTATGGGTTTCATGCAGTAAAATTGTGTTCTTGGTTGCAGTGTTCAACCATCCCTTCTCTATAGCTAAAGTTTAAGGAGCTGTTCTTCTTCGTGGTCTGTGAAATCACACTAATGGGTTAATCTGCGCTTGCGCAGAAGGCCTCGGAACATTCTAGAGCTTAAAGTAACACTTTTGGCTCCGCCCCCCAGGACCTCATGGTCCGCCCGCCCTAACAGCCACTCAGTTCCATTTTTTCCGCTGCTGCAGTTAGGTCTCCTAGCTAGAGCTCCATGAAACTTGGAAATTCTTAGAAGATTCTTCTGTTTGGCTCCGTTTGATTCATCTAAGGAAAGTACCTTTGTATTGTTATTAGGAGGGGAGTTGTTGGACTTTCTCGTGAGGGTTTTTCCCCTCTCTTCCCTACCCTTCCCCCAGGACTGTTTTTCCCGCCTTTTTTTTCTTTTACGGCCTCCAAGGCTCCCTCCTCACCTAAAGTTACTTTTAAGAGTTGTGCGGCCTGTTCTAAGAAAATCCCATCTACGGACGGCCACCGCTATTGTTTATTTTGCCTTGGAGAGTCGCACGTCCCCCAGGCTTGCCGCCATTGTGAAAAGTTTACTAGGCAAGGCCTGAGACTTAGAGAGCAGCGTCTACGTGCAGCGCTTTGGGAAAAATCCCTACGCGCGCCAACCATGGCAACGGTTCTGCATCTGCAGATCCGGACCCTTTACCCAGCTTGAAGGCCAAAGACAAGAGCAAGGCTGCTACGTCTAAAGGGAAGGCCCCTAAACGACAGGCCAAGCCTGCTAAACCCAAGGCTCTGGTCTCTCCTCCTCCTTCTCTTCCTTCGGCTGCACCTAGCCTACAGCACCAAACTTCGCCTTCACTACCTATTCTTACTCCTCAATCCCCCATCGAGATTCCTTCGCAGGTTTCTTCGCCTCCAACCTCCCCAGCCTCTCCACCTCCACCGGCCAACACTCCAGATATACCTCTCCTCCCATCCCCTCCAAGGAAGAGGAAGGCGAAAACGAGGCATTTGGCACCATGCTCTGGAGATTCCCAGTCTCCGAGCCCCTCGGGACCGAAGGTCTCCCCCCACGGGGCTAGACATGTTCACCCAAAGAAAATGAAGAGGCATGGAACTATCGATGAGCATTTCGCTCCACTTAAACTCTGTAAGAGTTACTTGAAACGCTGGAGGAGGCAGATGCAAAAGGTTTATGACCCTCGTCTTCTGTACAGCCTGACTGCTGAGAGTTTGGCTTCCGACTCTTCTTCCTCCTCGGTCATTTCCCGATACTGAAAGAAATGGACACCGACACGCACCGTCGGTACTGTCATCCCCCGATACCGGAAGGAAGAGACACTGGCCGGTACCGACAGAGCCCTCGTCTCCTAAGAAGCTCCGGCCGCGGCGCAATACCTCTGACCAGACGTGCCCGTCCGCTGCGGTACCGAGCAGTGCCCCGCCCCGTACGGCACCCGATACCGCAGTCGATACCGTCCTACCCAGTACCGATACCGCGCTTCCGAAATGCAAGCGCCCCCGCAACCCGGTACCGTCACGGCCACGAAACAAGAGGCGTCGTCATGCCTCTTCTGACTCTGACTCGTTTCAGTTGGACGTTCTCGATACCCGACCCGACCCTGATACCGGTCACGGTACCGGGAAGCGTACCGATACCGGGGCGAAAAAGAAGCGCCCCAAGAAGAGGGGGAAAGAGATGCCGGTTCCCGCCTTTTCTGCGCCGGAACTTCCATTTCCTCCAGTCCTAACCTCTGATCATTCCGACGATTCCTCCGCTGAGGGTTCATTTTCTGATGCCTCTGCTCCAAATGATAACACCCCGGACTCCGTTATAATTGACAAGAACCCGGTTTCTCTGGCAACCGATTTTCCTAGTTATTCGCAGTTGATACATAGAATAGCTGCCGTCTTGGAGCTGCCTGTCGAAAGACCTCCGGAAATGGTCCCTGACAAAGTATATGGCTTTCATCCCGTCGCTACTCAGAACCCTAAAGCAACCTTGGGACAAACCTTGTTCTACCCCCCAAATGTCCAGACGGGTGGAGAATTTATACCGTATTCAGGGGTTGGAATTGGACTTCCTTGTTAAACACCCTACCCCTAATTCCTTGATCGTGGACATTGCCCAGTCTAAGTTTCGACCCTCATCAGCCGCGTCTCCAAACAATAAGGATGGGAGGAAAATGGACATATTTGGCCGTCGTTCCTACGCCTTTTCATCTTTCGTCGTAAGGGCTGCTAATTATGTGGCCGCTATGGCGGCATATCACCAGCATTTGTGGAACTCGGCTCTACCCTCCTTGCAAGCTGCACCGGACGAGTTACAACCCAGGGGTCTTTCACTGCATCAAGAGGCCATGCAACTCATTCGTCAAGAACGAGTCACGGTCCGGCATATTTTGGATGCTGCATCGCGCAACCTGATGACGAGCGTCGCAATGAGGAGACAGCCATGGCTTAAATCGGCGGCGATTCTGGAGTACTC